AAAAAGGAAGAACAAGACTGGAAAGATACCTTGGACATTCTTTTTCAATCTCTAGAAATGGCGGTGCATTCCTATGGAGAATTGATTGCGCAGCAGGATAATTGGGACAAAGAAGGAACTATTTTTGATGAACATGTAACTCTATTGGGGGAGAAGGAGGAGGAAGAGGAAAAGGAAAAAGGGATTTTAAAACCTAAAAAAACAACCAAAAAAGATAAAAATGAGTTGAAGGGTGGATATAAGGTTAGAAAACAACAGGAAGGGGGAAAGCACAAGAAGAAAAGGGAGGTGGAAAGACAAAGGGGTAAACAGGGTAAGGAAAAGAATAAGCAAGGGAGAAAGGAAGGGGTGAGAAGTCTCAATGATGGGAAGCAAGATTTGAAGAAACAAAATTTATTTAGAGACAATGGGTAAATTTAATTGAAAAAGGGATTCTGTAAGGTACATAAGATTGTGTAATTATAGGCATTTATAGAATAAAATGTTTAAGATATAAATATATAAATAAGTATCAATAGGTATGATTAAAATGGTTTTGACAGGGGTACTACCTATATTATATATCTATAAATTTGTTTGTTATTGTTGTTCTTTCTTTTTTCTTTCTCTCTTTATATAATATATTGTGTGACTTTAGGATGTGCTAAACAGAATCCCAAAACAAATTATGTGTGATATTAAGTATTATTAGGTTAGGGGAAAGAGTTAAAGGCGTCATACTCTAATTAGTGTACAAGAGAGGTTTTGTTTAAAGAGAAAAAATGAATGGATAGTTGAGAACAGACAAAGAATGTTAAGTATTATGACTTGAACTGAGATAAGTAGAATAAAACTAAGAGTTAAAAAAAGGAAGAAGCTATATAGAAAATGGAAAACGGTAATAAGATATGGAATGATATATAAAAGGAACATGATTTTTGAAGAGGTGTCTGTACGATGAGTTTTAACCCGGGATCAAGCAACTTTCAGAAAAGATGTTTTATGTTTTTATGTTTTATGTCTTGTTTGTTTTTGTATTGGAAGAGAATAATGAAAATGTATAAGACAGATGGATATAAAAAAATGTATACAATCTAAAGTTAAAGAGATATAATTTGAATAAATAGAAGGAAAGGAAGTAATAAAGAGAAGTTTGGGATAAGATATGAAGATGAACAGATAAGGTAAATATATATATCAAATTGTGCTTGTTTGGAAATGTGATAACTTGGAATAATTCTGTCTTTAAATATGTATTGGCTTTTTAAAAAAAAAACTCTTATGTCATTATATTTTATGTTTTGTTTGTCTGTGTATTGTTTTGGAAAATCAATAAAATTTGTTCAAAAAAAAAAAAAAGCAACTTTGGGGGCAAGAAGCAGATACACCCTTAGGTGGGCAGCTTCAATTTCCCGAGTCTACTGACATTCCCAACTTGCTTCTGACACTGAGGAAAATGTCCCCTAAGCTCTAAGAGTGTCCACCTTGAGCACCAACCCAAGATCTTCCTTCTCTGCCTACTGCTGGGATAAAGTAACAGGACTTGATGCATAGCATGCTCAGACCATGCCAACCCACTGAGCAATGGCATATTTACCTCTTGTGCTCATTGCTGCTTCTGCTATCACAATTGACCTACACCTCTGCTTGCTACACTCTGGCTACTCACTATAGTAAAATGCTAGTCTGAATTACAGGTCCCTCTTATTATTCAGACTCATTGTGGTGGTTAATGCTCCAGTACATCCTAGAGTGAGGAGGGGATTGGCTACCTGACCCCAAGATCCCTTCCAATTCTGTGATTCTATAATTTACTAGCTCTCACTCCTTTACCTTATTTTATCTGGGGCTTTTCCAATCTGGGCTTTTTAGATACGTCGACTGTGCTGACTAATGAAAGTTATAGCTTATTGCACTGGAAGGGCACCAGGGTAACCACTGCTCTGCCGCCTTATATTATTATCCCCTCCCCAAACTCACATGAAGATGTCATCCCGGTCCAGGATACAGCTGAGAGATTCTTCCCTCTGATAGATCTTGTAGAAGCGGTGACTGAACACATCGGCCACCATCATCTGGACAGGAGGCAAAGAAACAGTCATGAGAAAGGGAAGACACAGAACAGGCCTCTACGGTCCATCGAGGCATCCCTCCTTCACCCTCCTGGCAAACTTACCCGCTCTGCAGGCACACCTGTGTGCTCTGATAAAGCCTGACAGAGGTCTAACACTTTCCCAGCTTTCGGGACAATCAACCTATACTGTAAGACAATGACAAAGAGAGGTCAGTAAGAAAGTCAATTGAAAATCAAATTCTAAACTCACGTCAAATTCCCCACTAGGCTGAATCCATCTCCAGGACAGAAACTGATCTGGGGACAGGCCTATAGGTCCCATTTAAGTGTAAAGTCCATAGTCAGATCTAAACTATTCCATTATTTATCTACTGTGCATGCTTGCATTCAGCATAAATTATAAAAATAAGTTGAGGCTGTATAAATTTTGGTTCCATTTGGTCACGTTGTCCAAATGGCTGGAAACCTCTTTCCTGCATGTCAGATGGGAACCTTTTCCCCACCCCAACTATTAAGCTTGAAAATTTCTACATATATGACAAGGGCTCTAGGGCCGTTCCCCCCAACTCTAGAACTCTCAAATCTCACTCAAATGAAGACATGCCACAACTTTCTTGCCACGGTAAAGAGCTTTGCAAACAGCTTGTTGGTACCTGTTCAGGTTTCTTACAGGGATCCATGGATACAAAGAAAACCTCCATCACTCGGTCTTTGCTGATTGGCAGAGGGGCACTGAGGTAGCAGAAGGGGTCAAAGGTCACCGAAACTTTGTTACATTCAGGGCAAACCAATGTTGATTTGAAGAGTCCATGGAAGATATCAACAATGATGGAATTGTTGCGACGTTTGTGATTCCGCCACGCTTCTTCTGCTACTTCCTGAACAGGAAGTGGGTAGAATGAATAGTCTGGAATACTATTAGTCTGAAATGCTATACTGTGGAATAGTCTACTACAGCCTCTCTCTTCCCATGCTCACCCATTTTTGCTGAATTACAATTCTCAGCATTTCACTTTACTAAATACACCAGCTGAAGTGATGTTAACCACAACTTGAGGTCAAAGAGAAGGAAGTTTACCTTCGAATTTTACAATGGAGTTTGGCAACAAATACCTCAAAATTAACAGGAAAATCTCAACCATCTCCAAAGGACTTTTTAATTTTTTCCTGCTACCTTATCTTTAAAGTGAAACCAATTATTCATGCTAGTCTTCCTCTGCTGCTGGGGGAAAACTGCAAGGGGGTAGGGGGAGAGAAAGATGAGGTCTATTGTATCGCCCCTCCAATTAATGCATAGCATTTGTGATGGAAAACCTCAGAGAATTTATAAGCATTATAAACTGAGCACAGGCGTCTGAAGCAAGGATCCCATAGAAAGGAATAGTTGATGCATCAACAGTATACGTTTCCCAAAAGCCCCAGCCCTGTCAACCTTGAAATAGGTTATTCTGAGTTGATTCCAACCTTTAAATAGGCTATTCTGAGTCTTCCTGAAGTTGTGCTATTTCCAAGGCTCTTACACCAGCACACAGAGCCTGTTCTGAGGTCAGGACCAAAAATTCTGCACTCCCACAGCACTCAACCCTTAGTGAAAGGACATCCCCAGTTCACTGCAGTAATGGAGTGGTTCTCATTCTTTATGCCTCATTTCAGCAGACTCCAAGCCTCATCGAATTATATCCAGCTTCCTTTCTTTTTTACTGCCGAATCTGATTACTGTAAAGCCTTTGGGAGTCCCCCCTTTATCACTGTCCTGCCCTGCCCTTGCTCAGAGAGAACAAAAGCTTGATTTTTATTTCTATATAGATGCTAAGGTTTCAAAAACCTTCCTCCCGTGAAATTTAGATATAAGAGATTAGACAAAACCAATAACATTTAGAGTTCACTGAACTTTGGACTTGGGGAACTAATATGAATTCCTCATCGGACTGCACTGGGTGTAAAGGATTAATTAATTGAGTTTGCTTAGTCACTTGCATCTTATTTCTGTGACTCTGGGCAGCTAACTAAGTTAACCACCACCCCGTAGAAAAAATGAAGCCAAACTGTAATGAGAGTCATGTAATGTGACTCTGGGAAGCTAACGAAGTTAACCACCACCCCGTAGAAAAAATAAAGCCAAACTGTAATGAGAGTCATTAGAAACAGTAAACAAAAAACAAAAAAACACCCCATAATCTGTGGGAAAGCACCATTCGTTTTTGTAGCACCACTACCAGATTCCCCCAGGCCAGATGACAAAGCCACGTCTTCAGGCCCTTCCAGAAAGCCAACAAGGTCAGGTCCAGTCTGATGATGTCCCAAAGGGCAGCTACCATGGCAGAAAAGGCTTTCCTCTTGAGTCCCATCAAATGATATTTCTTCATGAACCCACAACCCGACAGGTAGGTGTGACTGGGCAAAGGTCTTCCTTCAAGTACCATTTTTCCATACAGCGGTACAAAAATTGAAATGGACCAGAAGAACACAATGGAAAGATCACAGTGGAAATTCAACAGATAAGATCTCCAGTCAGAAGCTTCCAAGTTTGATGATACGTTATTCCTACTACAAACATACATGCATTATCACCGTTGGCTAGAATCCAATTTGGACTCTCTGATATTTTCCTCAGATGCTCACCTCATCGGGTCTCCCTGCAGCATCCTTTAATTCAATGTACTCTTTCTTCTTGACACGGTTGAGGTCCTCATGCAGGCCGTCAAGCAGGAAGGAGAGAAGCTCCTGGGAATCGTGCTGCTGATAGCCAAGGAACTGAGAGGCAAAATGGCCCACTTTGGTCTGAATGGGATGCAAAAACAGGGCCTCTGAGGTCAGCAAAGAGCCAGGTACAGACTAAAAAAGCGGTAAGACAAGAGCTAACCTTGAACATTCGCGGCACGATGGAGCGGTGGTGGCCAGACCACTTCTGTTTAATGAGATCCGCATAGGCTTCAGCAATTTCACCTTTCATGCCAAGAGGGTTGCTGAAGTTTAGTTCGTCCAGGTAATGATTATTGAGGAAGTATTCCGTCAGAGGGGGCACATTGCTGAGACACTGGAAGAAAGGATGAAAGTGTGCCAAATGTCATGTTAGATGGTAGTACATCTTTCAGAATGAAGCTCTGGTGGGTGGGGGAAACATCTCTGACACAGAATCTTTTTTTGTGTGAAATGAACAAAATTAAAAGTAAGGTTAAACAAACTGATATTGGCCCAGAAGGGGAGAACTTTTCCAGTAATCATTTTTTCATGTAAACATCATGTACACCAAGGACAAATGTAGCTGTGATATTTATACAGACATTATTTTTATAATGGGAACACAAACTCATCATTACTAAGGAATAGGTAGGTGCAATTTAGCTTTTTTTTAGTTTCAAATAGCCAAATGTCAGAAGGGTCCTTTCTGTTTCTCTTACCATTGGGTAAAAAAAATGTTTGACTGTATTATTATAATCTATGTTGTCCTACTTTCTCCAGTTTAAATTTAAGAGGAAAAAAGGGAGCATTATTTACAAGGGCATTTTAAAAAAACAGAAAAGAGAACAATCTTTAATTTATCAATCATTCCAAGTCAATGACAAAGATGATGTAATCAAAATTCCTTGAACTAATCTAATATTCTTCCACAGATGGTAAGCAGGCTACTGGTGGTACAGAAGGACCCTGGATGGGTTGCAACCCCCTTATCCAAATGCATGTGTGGGAGAGAAACAGGAATTTCTAGTCATCTTTGCTGAGGCAGTTGGTTTTGTTGATCAAATCTGCAGTAGCAGGAAAACCCTATAGCTTCCCTTGCTGTAAAGGGTAGGAAAGACATCATGGCTCACTGGTATGTATAGGACGGAAATGAGAATTGGTTACAGGGTGGTACTCAGGAGTGGAAGGTAAATATAAACCAAGAGGTGTTGTTATTATGGTTGATATTAGGTTAGGGCTGTACCAAAACTGATTCAAGCAGACTTTATTGTATTATGTTACCGTACTGTAGGAGAAATCTGTTTTGACTAGGATGCTGGACAATTAAATGCAACCAGAGGCTTAGCACTAAGAAGTGGCTGGTAATATTATCATAGCTTTCCAGATGATTGAATTCTCAATTTTATGGTTTGCAGTTCAAGCAAAAGCTATTGTCAATATTGTACTTTTTACAAGACTGACATTTATCATAATAGACAACATAAATATATAAGTGCCCTTCTCAGAAAATAGTAGGCTTTTTTTCCCTCTTGGAAGCATTCAGGGATTGGTGAGTGTTAAGAAACAGTCAGCCAAGATGTTTAATTCCTCTATTCTAGGCATACAAGCAGGCAATGACAAAATACATAACCCATTAGTACATGTGGGCAGACATGTAACAACACTGGCAATGCACCTAATATATGAGCAGAGTGTGAGCCAAGTTTTCATTCGGCTTGGTGGCAAGTCATCACAGTACCCAAAGTTTGGCATCAGAAGATCATCCTATTTCTTACTTGCAAAGCAGAGTTCATGAAGCATGTGTTCCCCAGGTTGGTAAGGCCACAAATCCCTGGCTGGCCCTGGTACCGCTCTTCTTCATCAATGGAATTATTCCTGAAAAATGCAAGTAAAGTAAGACTGTGAAAAAAGAGGAGGTGAAACCCACAGCCTGGTTCCTGTTGGAGCAGAACAAGATCCGAAGACAGCCGTATCCCCCCAAAAGTTCAGGCAAGCTGGGAACTGGAATGCTGCCCAATTTTGAAAGTACAACCCACCCCAGACAGGGGATGCAGCTATACCTCAACACTGTGGAATTGATAATATGTTTAGATACTCACATGATATGTGGTCTGGAACTGGGCCAAGTACCGTCTTTACTTCTGGTCTCCATTATCACAATCTGAAGGGAACAGGTACAAGCAGGAAAAGGTCAAGAGAGGCACAGTAAAAGTAAAAAACAACCCTGGGCTATATTAACTGGTATGTGGCTAGGCAACAGTCCATGACAGGTGAAGTCCTTGGGTCTCTCTGAGTTTGGTTGTTTCATTACCGAACTAGTTAGCATTATCAGCATTGATGATGTGATCTAGTTTGGTAATGAAATGCCTGCAAGAAAACAACCAAGCTCAGAGACCACCAAGGAACCCTAATTTCAACCATGAGCTACACATATTCTCTTATATCGGTTCCCCTGACTTCCAACCAGAATTACCATTTATTCAGTAAAATTACTGGGTAATAAAAAGCATAGCATCTATATTATTCTGGAGTTGCTCAAGCTACTCAAACACATTTTTAAAACTCCCAGACAGCAAACACGCTATACTACTGTCCAGCTAAAAGCTATTTCTATTGCTCTTATAGCATCTATCTCCTTGCTCTTATCACCTATCACTATTACTTGCAAGCCCAACAAAAGGATCAAAGCAACATAATTTTCAGACCATTATTTGCATATCAAAGTAATGAATGGCTCAAGGGTAGCAGAGGCACTCCTATGATTTGTCAAAGATACAAACTTATCCTTCATTTTCTCTCCTACTGCAAGGCAACTCCCATAAGATTTAACAAGATCAGCTAAAAAATTCATAGGTGAATGCAGCAAATGCTAAGTATGGTTAATTTTGTGTTGCTGTTTTTGTTTGGTATTTTGTGGGAACCCAGCCTACTTATAATTCATTTATTGTTTAACACGTTATGTGAACTAACATAAATGACTATTAAGCAACCAGGGAAAAGCATGTGAACCTAGATACACGCATGCACACAATCCATTCCATCTATTCTTCCATCTTGTATATCTTATATTTTTCTATTTTGACTGGATGACTTCCATGGAAACTGAACATTTTGAAGCCATTGGTGAATAGTATCCCTGGAGAAATTATAATGCGAGACATAGCTGTTTCCAACAAAAGCAGTATTTTATCATAGCCTCTAAGAGAGCACTCCAGAGGAGTGCATTCACAAACACCTAATTATGGCCAAAGAGCCACCTTCCATATTTCCAAATATGATTGTGATCATACATTTTCTTCAATGTTAAAAGGAAGCAGAGATCTGAGATAGAAAAGGTTTTGGAGGATATTTGAATATGTGATGTCAAGAAATACAGGCGGCTTAAAATCAAACTAGCTGCCCAGAAATTCTTTCCCTTCTTAAAATGGGTGTCTCAGAGGCCATCAAAGTTCCCAAAAGGGGAAAAGCATTCTGCATGTCTTCCAATATCCTCCCTCAGAACAAGTGTCTTGAATCCTTCCAAAAGAGATTTCAGGAAGAAGTCCTAATCACACAACTAATAGGTCTCCTTACTAAAATTCATCTAGTGTCCAAGGTGTGTGTGTGTGTGTGTGTGTGGTGTTTTTTCCCCCCCCCCCAAAAGTAATTATTTGATCCAGATCCAAGAATAGCAGTTGTGTAGGAGATGCAAAGAGTGGCTTCAATCCAGTAAAAACTACTGTGCCCTTAAATCAGCTTTGCTATTTAGATAAGTGTACTCCATTGTAGTCTAAATTTGCAGTCCCTCTCCAGGGACTGTCTGTCTGTCTGATTATCTCAAATCCAGCCATTGGAACTGGTAATCTCAAATCCAGTTCAAACTGCTATCTTCCAGATGGCTCCACCTTCAGCCAGCCTGTCAACTGTAACAATCGAACACAGTTGAGGAGCAACAGGCTGTGGAAAACCAATTTATATAAATATATGCCAGAGAGAGAGAAATCTTGGCACAAAACCAATTCTGCCTCTTTTTGTATACAGGCCAGCCTCAACCTGGGGACAGCAGCGTTACCTGCCCTGAACTTAGGCAGGCATCCAGCACAGTCATCTGCAAGTTTCGTAACCTCTCATAGGAGCCATCAGCATTTTTCACCCAGAGTCTTGATTCATCTTCTGTTGGAACTGAAAACTGATGCCGGGCCTCTTTTAGCACTGAGTCTAAGGGGCAGGAGAAGAGAGGACAAAGAGAAAATGACTTCTTGCGACAAATGCCCACTGCTTTTCCCTCTATTTTTCCCCCTCTCCGCTCAATTTAGAATTCCTGAGACCTTACCAATAGTATCCATCCGGCTAAATTGAGTGACCACGTGGTTGTCTACATCGTTGTGCTGACAGAGGTACAGCTCCACTAAGTAAACTTCTACCTTCTGCATGCTAGGAAGGTCTACCACCTGGGAAGGAAGAATCAAAATGAAGAATCAAACAAGGGACAGAATATCATTAAGAGAAATTGGGAAAAATCAGCATTGGTAGATACTTATTGCTAAATTCTCTCTGAAGAGAGACCCAGAAGGGGAAAGCCAACCCCCATCCATAAAGCTGAATGGCCCTTATTATCAGTAGAACACATAGTTCTTTCAGGAAAATATGTAAAAAGAAGCAAAAGCGGTAATACTAGCAAGAACCTAGCAGGATGTCCATCAGCATATGGGCTATACAAGGAGCATTCATGGCAAGACTGAGATCCATGAACTAATAATCCCCATAATTTTTATTTTCATTACATATTATAAACCACTCCCCATTCTCTCAAGCCCTGCAATTTACCATTAGCAACTGGTAGATAATGCTGGGGGAAAGATTACTTTTTAAAAAGGTAGCATATAAATTAAGTATTATTAAATTCTATCTCTAGAAAAAAGTCTTCTACTCACATAGGGAGCTGAAAGAATCTTCGTTCTCCAGGCACCTTTTCTATTAACTGTAATGGAAAATGCTGCAGGGCAGGCAAATTCCAAAGAAAACCTGTGCTTCTCAACTCCTAATTTCTCACCTTTCGTTCAATGGCTGGCTGGCCATGTTCAATGCCATACCAGCTCACCAACTTGTCCCATACTTCCTCTGGCACCAGAATGTAATCTTCATGTTCTACCAGCCTATCCTTCAACCGGTAAGACTCCAAATCTGGAGGAAGAAAGAAGGAACGAAGGAAGGCTGAAATCATGAAGGACTCACCCTCTTTAAAGAAGCCCGTAGCTTAAGAGCAATGGTGACCCCTCACCAATTTTGGTGTTCATGAAACGGAGCCAAGCTTCTTATTAACTG